GACATTGGAGGACGGTCTCAAGAAGTTGTGAAATCAACCCTAGCTCTGTTTTTGTGCCAATATGGGCTTTAGAAGAAACCTTAAGTTTGAGCCTATTATTCAATCTTTACTTTCTTATAAAGGGCCAAGCCCATAATATTTCAGAATCGAGAGCCTACTTTGTTTTGTTCATTACAAAAAAAATAGTTACACAAACAAAAAGTTTGAGGCTGATATGTTCAAAAGCTTAAATCCGGTTTCTTATTTCTGGTTTAATGCTTGATATTGATTTGAAGCAAGCAATCTCATCTGCTTTGTCAGAAATCTCAAGATGATCATATACTTCTCTGGAGTAAGCTGTCCAAATTCAAACCCATCTTGTTTCTCCATTTCAGCGAACGACTCTTATGGGACATAGATATTTGACATGAGTGAAGGACTTCGAATTATGTTAATCAACAATACACCAAAACGTCTTTGATAATAACTAATTTTATTGTAAAAATAAAGTTCCATGAAAAGTAATTTAAGAAGCAATAGAGATAAAAACTATGCTTTACTCTCTTTGCAAATGAGAAGCAAGAAAAGAATATATACAAAACAAAATAAAAAGCACTTCAAGAGGTAATTTAAGCGGAGGCTGGCTTTTCTTGTGGCTTCATCAGCGGGAATGCAATAACCTCCTGCAACAATATTTCAAATCAGGATTTTAGTAAAAAACAAAAATTTATATTAGATTATTCACAGTTTAAAAAAGGTAAAAGAGTAACCTTGATGTTGAGTGAGTCGGTCAAGAGCATAGAAAGTTTGTCTATTCCAAACCCCCAACCAGCTGTGGGAGGCAATCCATATTTTAGAGCGGTACAAAAGATCTCGTCTATAACCATTGCTTCATCGTCCTCAGATTGTCGATCTTTGAGCTGATCCGCAAAACGTTGTCTCTGAACCACCGGATTGTTCAACTCGGTGTAGGCATTGCATAACTGTTATAACAACAACATATTTTTATATAGTCAAAACAAAACTATAAAGAAAAGAAACTTCATCATCATCATCATTCTTTACTTACTTCATGTTTGTTGATGAAGAGCTCGAATCTTTCAGTCAAAGCACTATTCGATCTATGCTCTTTCGCCAATGGACTCATGATCACTGGATGATTGATGATGAAAGTTGGGTTCACACAAGTCTCTTCCAGAAATTCTCCAACAAGCTACAAAACAAAGAATCAAATCCTAGATGTTCCAAAACAA